GAGCAAGTAGGCAGTCCAACTTTGTCTAGTCAGCGGTACCCAGTCCCAGTCTTACTTTGTCTAGTCAGCAAGTACCATGTGGGACTGTGTGCACCATGGGCCCGATGGAAAAGGGCAGACCAGCGGCCAACAGAAGTATAAATCAAGAGGCAGCGTCCAGCCATTCATTGATTCCTGTCTCTTATACACATCTAGATGTGTATAAGAGACAGGTGTAGAGTGCAGAGTTTGTGTACTGTATGGGTGTTGGGTATGAACACTGAGTGTGCGTGTGGGACATCCAGGGTGATCCAGAGTGCGAACAGTGAGTTGTGTGGGCGCTCAGTCGCCATAGCCAGTTTGAAGAGAACTCTTACCTGGTTACGATATCTTTGAGTACTGTGTGGGCGCATGTCGCCAGTTTGTTGTTTCGCTGTTTGCATGGATGACAAGTGTGAAGAAGTCGAGTATGATTGCAGCATGGCCCCTGTGCAAGGATGACACGCATAAATTGAGAAATGGTCCAAATTTTTTCTACAATGACTGGATGGTTTAAAAAAAAAAAAAAAAACTCACAGTACAACTTGGATCTTACAGCAAATGGTAACATGAAGACCTGGATCTTACAGCAAACTTACAGCAAACTCACAGTAGAACTATTATTCATTGGAACCAAATGGTACTGAAACACGCCACAACCATGAAGTTCCTGACTGACCATATATTCTCAGCTGAACTGGAAAGCAACAACAACGGCGCAGACATGATTGAGGAACATACCATGTTTGGACTGACGTAATCTGGATTTTCATATAAAGTTGAGCCTGAAAAACTGCCGCTGAAGATCTTCACCGGACTCCAAGTAAACCTCGGACCAACCTGCACCAGACAAGGCAGCACATGCCTCAGATGACAAGTCGTGTCGTTCATCGAAGATACCAAACACCAAGCCGGCAACGACTTGTGATCTGCGTGCATCGTCAACATTTCTTCTTCTTCCTCTTCTTTCTTTTTCTTTCTTCTTCTTCAACTTCTTATGTTCACATTCTTCTTCATCTGTGTGCCCTCATCCACGTTCCTCGTTGGAATACTCATGTCTTTAGTGCTCCCTTTCAACGAAGCTACGCGCGCCTTTAGTGCTTTAGTGCTCCTTTTCAATGAACCTAATCACTCCTTTAGTCCTCCCTTTCAATGAAGATACTCACGCCTTTAAGCAGAAACAGAAGACGAGCTGAGCAAAAGGGGGTCACAGCATCACGCAAGCAGCCAAATCGAAAACAATGATGGAGGTTTTTCCATTTTTGCACTCTCTCTACCTCATCAATGTGTGCACGCACCTCAGCATCTTTGTGCATCTTCCTCACAGAGGAGAGCACACAAGGCCACAGACACGCCACACTCCAGCTTCACTACCTCCTAACCCAGCGATCTTGCACATGAACGTCGGGAGAACAGGCTTTGCAAACAGTCTTACCATTAATTAATCCAATTGTCACCTCAGTGCCACTGTACGATCAAGGAAACAGTCAAAGCTAAGGACTGCTGACAGAAGTCGACTCAGCTGTCCATGTCTGCATGTATGTGATCAGTGGGAGCTGAACAGAAATCATTGCACCCCCGAAATCAGCAGAACCTTCCAGATAAATCTCACGATTTTTGACTGTGCGAAGAGCCAAGTTCAAGTCAATCAGCACTGACACAGTCAAGGGTCGTAGCTTTTGGTTGACAGTCAATGTAAAGGGGTAAAAAATCACGGCACAGGCTCACAGCTCCAGAATAGGCACTAGAGAGGTCCAAAGAAGGCACCCTGCAACCCCAGAGCCAGGAGTCGACTTGCACAGCAGACAAAAACTGCTGGTCGAAAACTTTCCGCATTACAGGGAATACGCGTCTGAAAAAAAGGTGCAGGATCAACAGAATAATCCTGCTGCTCACTCCATTGCATGAAGTTAAATAAACTATATCATGCCTGCATGCAATGTCACATTTTTCCATTACGAAGGAGACATTCGGAAATTGTTTTTTGCTTTTTCCCCGTACGCCATCATCGTCTTCAGATTCCCTCTGTATTTACAGAAATTAACTCTGTTCAAGTCTGTTGTATGCATCACGTGCATCATGCCTGAATGTCAATTTTCTTCAGATTCCCGTTTTTTCGCACAGTACTTTTGCACCATAAGATGGCCTCAGCAAAAGAGAGAAAAAAAAAAAAAATATATATATATATTGTCACAAGAATATCAGAGCGCAAATGCGAAAAAAAGAGAAAAAAGGGGACAAGAAAACCAGGGAATATTAATTTCAATTTTTTATTTTCTTCCTTATAACTCCCCCTGTTCAGAACCTCTTGCGTACAAGGCCGCCCACGTGGATGTAGGTTGAGCGGCGGCTGCCCCCACCCCCGTGTGTCATATCG